ATTGATGAGGGCGCTGAAAATGCTGATGAGAAGTTGGTTCCGGGATGTTCCACGTGATGTCTGCCTTGAGGCAAAGGCAAAGGCAATGGTGGCAGTGGCAATGCCACCCAAAGATGGGCCAGACTCTGGCTCTGGCTGTCATTAGCGGTATTCAAATCATAACATAAATACACTTGTCGTCTGTCGAGAGCTCTTTGGGGAATGAGACTCGCCTACCTCCCTCCCTCCCTCACTCTTTTGGGAAGATTATGACAGAGTGATGGGTTGGGTGGAGGAGGGGAAGTATGAGGGCCGCCCCGCCGCCTGTCTGGCTGCCTCTGTCGAGCAACTTGTTGGCTGCATTTCATTTTGATAACTTGTCAAAATAGTCTGGAGTTTTCGAGTGTCTCAGGGCGAGTGCTTGTGCCCCGTGCCCCGTTCCCCGTGCCCGTGCCTGTGGCTGTGCCTCCTGCCGGGGCATGATAAATGCGGCCAGACAGCGAGAAAGCCACTGACAAAGTGTTGAATGTTTGTGCCACTTTATTATTGCCATTAAATGTAGTGCTCCTGGGTCTCAGTTTCAGTTACAGTCTTAGTCTCAGTCTGCCATGCCCTGCCATCTCCAGTGCCCTCCTCTTTTGTGTCAGTTGTCTTTACGAGTCTGCTGGGGGCGCATATGCATAAAGCTGCGCCACTTTTCTGCCATAAACTTGTCAGGCAATGTCATAAAATCACCGAACCCTCATCCCTTGACCAGCAAATCGAACCGATGCATTGGTGGGTTGAATATATATCGCCCACAGCCAGCCCCGGCCAGCCCCGGCCAGCACAGCCCCTGCCACTCAAGCCCCTTCCTCAGGTAACTCCCGCTTGGGGAGCACCACGAATTATTGTTGTAATATTTGCCAAAATTATTCGCCGGACAGCGGATATCGATTGCAAGTGAACTTCGACCTAGGTGGCTGCCTACCCCGCGCACACCACACCAGGCCATCCATCCCCTGCGCCGCGCCACTTACCTTAATGCCCTGAACTGATTGGAATATGATAGCGGAATTGGGTTTTATGGCAGGCGCAGCTTTTATTTATTCGCAGGTTTAATTTTTGGGCACTCTGCTGGGCTCTCCAGGGTCACATCTCTCCCTGCCCACACCCACCCACCATCCATGCCAGTCTCCTTCCCCCCCCTCACTGGAGTTCAACTAATAAAGCCTTCTCGTGCCGCGGCTGCTGCTGCTGCTGACTCCTCTTATTCTGCGGGACATGGCTTAATTTGTTAGACGTTATCGCTTCCGCTTAAAGCCAACTACCGACGACTGCAACAAAATGCATTTGTTGCGAGTGGCAACTGCAACTGCAAACAGGCTCAGCGGAGCCCGCAGCAGCAGCAGCAGCAGCCGCAGCAACTTGTTTGTGCAGCGCATAGTGGGGCAGCGGCAGTGGCTGTGGCTGTTGCTGGGGCACGGTCACGTGCAGCGTGCAATAAGCGAAACATATTCGCATGTTGTCCGATCGACTGCGCTCGCGTTATCGATACCTGGCGTGGCCTTGGCGGCTGGCAGGGGAAAAACACAGATATCGATGTGTGTACACACTGCACAGTGTACACGGGGGGGATGTATGCTAGTGAGGGTCGATCTATGTAAGGATGTATTTATGTAGTACATATTTAACTATGAGGGTAAGCAGTACAGGGAGGATCAGTTACGCTTATGGTTGGGGGAGTGGAAAGTTTATTGAACAATTATTATTATATTTATAGTTTGTTAAGGTATTTGATGTACGATTAGGCGGTCGTCACGGATACCCCCCTGGGGAGTTGCATGACCAACAATTTGTGTCCCCCAACATGCCGATAAGACCCGCTTTGGCGCCTTTCTACAGCATGAGAATTAGTTGAATTAGCGACAGAACAAGGCAGAAATTTAAGCTTTAATATGGACCACTTTTGACTACTTTACACACATATTTCACAGCAGCCTGTTGGCAGGGTTCGGATCGTATAAAAAATTAAAAGATTAATATTTAAAGTTTAATATTCACGCTTATTACTTACTGAACTTACTTGGGTATGGGTCCCATATTTTATTGCCCATCAATTCAAGGTACGCAAAATTGCGGCCCTCAATCGGCGACCATCTTGAAGAGACCTCAGCCAGTCGCGCATCCTCTCTTCGTCAGCAGCAACACAAGAGAGATGGAGAGACGAGGCCAGATCAACAAGAGTAGCAGCAAGGACAACATGAATAATCCATTTTTCGAAACACTTGTCCCGGCTACAGACCACAGCCTCGACACAGTCCACACAGCCCCATCCACAGAGAGCTGCCTCAACGATCATAGATATAAAGACAGTCTGTCTGTCTGTCTTTCGGTCTGTCCTTCCCTCCATCGTAGGTGTTGTCTAGATCTTGGCCACGCATACGAGCCAGACTCAGAGCTCGAAGCAGGGAAGGGAAGGGAAGGGAAGCAGGGCAGGAGGAGCAGCAGGAGCAGGAGCTGCAGTGGAAGTCAAGGCTGGCAGCGACACCAGCGCCGCCAGATTAAAGATTCCTCCATAAACAAACAAGCGAAATAATTGAGGCAAAATTGAAGCAAACTACCCGAACTGTTGCTGCCACAGAATGCAACTACAGTTGGTGGCTGGATGGGGAGGGGAGGGGGAGGATCGACTGTAGACTGCAGACTGGGGAGCTGGCAAACCAGTTCGGATTCTCGGTGCAACAATTAGCACGGAATTTGTGGGTGCCATAAAACGCGCTACACGATGGCCGCATGTTCTCTGGGCCTTGCAACCCATTTTCATTTCCATTTTCATATCAATAAAACCTCCGATTCTATGGAGGGGGCAAGGAACGAAGTCTAACGGTACTCCTACCTGGATGGAGTGAGAGCGAAAGAGAGAGGAACGGAGCTGGCTATCCTGGCGCCACTCATGGCACCCAATTAGACACACTTCAAAGTCCTCCACGGTATGCCCGCCTCGCTCTTGGTGGCCATCAAACGAACGCATATTCCACTCATAATTCCCTCCGGGCTTGGGTTATTATTCATAGACCGTTTTCGGACGACGCGTCGCCGCGTAGGATTCCCCCCGGCAGCAGACAGAAACTTAATTACTCGAATAGATCAAACAAATTGCACGCAAAATAAATATAATGCAGCAGTACAGCAGACTTACGGATTGCCACAAAATGAGGTTATTAAGATGCCCCAAAAGGCAGACGGCTGCCAAAAACGGGGTCTGCGGCATAATCGTGATCTTGAAAGTCCCCGCGCCCCGCAGTGCTGCCCCAGTGCTGTCCCAGTGCTGCCCCAGACATGGCATGCCACAATTTCTCATCGCTCATTTTCGATGCAGGAGGCCGGATTCGTTAGTGGCGAACGAGGAGTGCAGTGCAGTCCCACTCCTTGCCGGTGCAGAGTTAATGGCTCCAGTCGTGGGGCTGTTAATAGTTCCGCGGCTCCCTGTTCTTTCTCTCACTCCACGAGGACACTTTACGGCCGGGGGGAGCACGGGCCGCATATGAAATATGTGCGCCCATGAAATGAGCTAAATTTCTTGGGAAAAGTGCAACATTGTGGAAAATGGAAAATGGGAAATGGAATTACCAACAATGCCACAGCTACAATGACGGCAGGCAGCAGAGGGAGGCAATATGCGGAGGTGTTTATAGTCAAGTTGAAGGCTGCGAAAGTGCGAAAGACAAAGAATGGAGAGGCCGGTAGGAAAACTTTGCTCATCTACGATTTTTTTTTAATTTTGATGCCAGGAATATATATAATTTTTAAATCAAATTCTAAAATAAAATTTAGCTACGGATTATTATTAACAAAATTAAAAATAAACTTTGGTTTTTTTATCTTTACAATAATAATGCAAAAAAATAAAAATAAAAATTTTGATTTCAAATTTTTTTTTTTAAACTGACAAACTTTAAATATTTTCAAACTAAGTTTTAAGAAAACATATTTTGAATTTAAAATAATTGTTTGATATTTTTTTTATTTTTAATTTTGATATTTTTAAATTTAGAACTATTATTTGTGCTCTCTGGTTCAGAATTGAGGGATACCTACTATAGTAGTCAACACGACAATTAGGCTGTGGCCCAAAATGACTTTTTCTTATAGATTTCGGGGCTAACAATTTTTTAACGAATTATGTTTTTTTTTATGGTTTACGTTTTTTTTTAAGAATTTTTTTAAATCTGTTATTTTTTTAATGTTTTGTTTTTCAGAGGTAGTGGTTTTATTTTTCACATAGCTATCGAACCCTTTAATCATTTAAAACACGTGACTCCACAGGCCTTTGCAGTCTTCATACGAAACGTAAATGGGATTAGCAGGGAGCTTTATACTTCCCATACATGTATTAAAGAGTCCCTAAGTATTCGAAATATACGCACAAGAGCGCTTTGGTGTGAGTATTAGTGCACTGATTCGGTGATTCGGTGATTCGTTGGTCTATTGTTCGGCAGACAACGCCTGTCATATTCAGTGAACATTTATAATGTGCGGCGACATCTCAAGTTGTTGCGGTCTAGAAATTATTATTTGTTACTCGCAGTGGCGAGTGGTGAGTGGCGGGAAAGGCGGCTGCCAAAATGACAAGGGAATAATTAAAAGTTTTGCGATTGCGAACTACGGAAAATGCGACACTTTCGAGCGAGAATTCGTCTGCGAACGATGGCTGGGCTGGGATGCAAGTAAATGAATCAAAAAGAAAACATCTGTTGGACAGAGTAAATGGCATGGGGATGGGGATGTGGATGGTGGGGCATGGCATATGTGCCCCAGAGGCGAGGGCGTTTCGCTGAAGGGAACGCGGTATGATGAATGGGCTGCGCGTGGCGTGGCATGTGGCATGATCGAGACAAACACTTACCCAGTGAGCTGCCAATTTGCATGAATTTATTGAACCCCCAAAGACACCCGACACTCCACAGCGGAGATCCCCGGAATGCTGCCCACTTCCCGGAAGAGAAACGTCACAGCAGCGTGTGGATTTTTTTTCTTTTGCAATTTTGCACCGCCGGCTTTATTTTTGATCATTTCTCCTCGCGATTCGCACCTCTCTCTCTGTCTATCGGTTATCGATATGCTCGATATCAATTGTTAAATTTTTTCAATTTTTTATATGCAACTACCACAGTTTACATTACGTGTATTTATATATATATATATGTACGTATGTATATATTATAATTTATATATATATATATCTAGGTATAGCCATAAAATTAGTTAAGTTCTTCCACTGCGTTACTCCAGGGGGTGGGGTGGGGCAGGGAACTTCCTTGCTTCTTGCTTCTTGCTCTGCTCTGCTCTGCCATTTATACAACTTATCGCCTAAACTTAATGCATTTAAATGCCTTGAAGATCGCTATCAATTACCGTAGGTATGTATATATAGACACAAAGGATATACTCGTATATATATTGTGTGTGGGATTCTGTGTGTGTGTGTGTGTGTGTGTGTGTGTTGTGTCTGTGTTTGTGTCTCTGTTGTGTCTGTGCTAGTTGAAGCTTAGCGTTAGAGGGTTATGCTCAAGATATGTACTCCACAAAAAACCATGTGTGTTCCAAGACCAGGACTGCTGCTGCTGCTGCTGCTGCTGGTCGGTTACTTGTCCGCATCGCGGGACTCTGACTCATCGGGCTCCAACGCGCCGCCACCTGCCTCCCCGTCGCCCTCCTCCTGCTCGTGTAGGCTGTGGCCCACTGCTTCGCTTTGATTGTTCTCCATCTTGATGCGACTGAGTGGATGCCAAATATTGCTGGCCAGCTCGTCGTCGCGCAGCGAAGGACTCTGCGCCGGCTCGGGTGTGGGCGATTTGCTGCTGCTGCCACGCTCCATGGCGTAGGGATGTTGGCCCAAGAAGCCGGGAAAGCCCAGGAGTCCAGGCGGATAGGGATATTTGCCACCGTTGGCAAAGGGCGGCGGCGGTAGGTTGGCAAAGGCGCCGGGACTCAGCTCACCAGGCTGTCGGAAGAGAGAGAGAGAGAGAGCAGCAAAGGTATCCAATAAATGGGGGGATTCCAAAGAGACTTCCATTTATTTTGCAGCTACCAAGCCCCAGAAGCGCCCACACACTCACCTTTGGTGGCAGTCCATTGAAAAAGGGCGGCAGGTAGGGGAAAAAGAGCTCGGGTCGTCGCTGCATGAACTCCTGCTCGGCCGTGGGTCCACCGTGTGCCGCACCCGGACCCTGCCCCGGCCCCGGACGCATGGGCAGCTCCAGCGACATGCGACGACCGCGACGCGACGTGGGATTCGTCCACATATGGGTGCCCATGTGCACCTGGAAGCACACAGAAAGAACAGCAGCCAGAGGGTCAGCAAAGGTCAGGTATAGTCCCCTGAGATGGCGCACCTTCAGATTTCCTTTGGTGGTGAATGCCTTCTGGCACACGTTGCACTGGAAAGGCTTGTCGCCCGTGTGGGTGCGCATGTGGATCTGCAGCGCCGAACTGGAGCTGAAGTTGCGCCGGCAGACGTGGCAGAAGTGCTTGTTGTTCACGGGCGGATCCAGGCTGGATGTGGGCGGACCGGCGGACATCAGAGCCTGCTGGAAGTCCAGCGGACTGGCCGGGAACCGATGGGCATCTGTGCGAAAAGGGGGGGACGTGTGTGAGGCGTCCGAGGCGGCCTGGAATGAGTCTCATTTATACTTACGCAACTGCATCTTCATCAGCGACTGTTCGGCATCGATGGCATCCTGTGGATAGTTGTTACTGCCTGCTCCTGCTGCCCCTCCCTCGCCGGCAGCAGCCTCTTCGCCCAGGAGCTGATCCTGCTCGGGCTCCTCTTTGATGGGCGTCGCCTCCAGGGGCTGCGCATGGGACACTCTGGGGCTGGGCAACTTGTCGCCCGCCGATGCTGCTGCTGCTGCTGCTGGGGGTGGCGGCGGCGCCGGCGGCTTCTTTGCGAACAGATTTGGATTGAGAGTGAGCTGAAACGAGAGGAGATTTCTGTATGGCAGCCAGACTCTGTAACTGAAGCTGCAGCATCGGGGGGGCAGCAGCACCATGGCACAATGGGCGCTAATTTCTGTAAATTTTCTGTTTAATGTGCCGTTAATGCAACAGAGTGGCACAGAGGCAGCGGCACAGACTCTGTCTCTCTTTTGCCTCTTAATAATCTTATTTTTAAACCGCAAGCCAAAAACATAATTTACAATTTTTCTATGCCATCGCGTGTAATAATGCCAACTAATTATCTCGGGCAGACGATGCCGCCGGGTCTCATATTTTTATGGCAAAACAATTGTTCCCGCTGCCAGTTGACACTCTCGCAGAGGGGGTGGGGTGGGGGCATGGGGCCTGAGGCCTGAGGCCTGTCAGAAGGGGCACAGCATCCCCACAGACGCGACGAACAAAAGATTAAATAATTTTGCATAAAGCGTAGCATAATTTATTTGCATTGAATGCATCGCACACACCGCCACCGATCCGGCACAGGCTCATCCTCTCCTCTGTATCTCTCTCTCTCTCTCTCCCTCACTCTATGGGACTCTATCTCTCTCTCTCGCTCTCTGGGTCTGTGGGGACTGTCACTGCAATATCTCCTAGCCGATCCAGACACGAGCAGACACGACCACATCGTAAATTTCGCATCATCATAATGCATTCTCGTAATTACTTAAAATTTTTGAATCATTTAGAAATTTCAAGCCCAAAAGATGATGCCGATTCCACCACCCCACTCCCATTTCCACTCCCTTTCCATTTCCACTCCCATCCAGATTCCCTAACCCGATCGTCTGCTCTAGATCATCAACTCAACAATATGCTAAGCGAGCAAATCGGAACGTGGCTGCGGCCCCAACAACCAACCCGTGGAGTGGGGCGATGCGAAGGGCGAACAAGGGCCTGTCTGGGCCTGCCAAAAACTGTCACGAGGGGGTGGGGATGGGGGGCCTTGTCCGGACCGTGCTGATTACCAACTGAAAACGTTATGACATTTACACTGCAATTGCACTGCACAGGAGCGGTTCAAGTGCGAGAAAGGGAGCCAGGAAATTAGGAAAAAGGAACTTTAAATGAACATATGACAGGCTAGAGGATGAGTACAAAAATTTGAGATAAAAGAAAATATCTAAGAAAATATATTAAAACAAAATTGTTTCAGTAATTTGATTTACTAATTAATTACCACAATTCCTGTATTAAAACAAAAGGCAAAATTGGTCCTGTTATTGATTGAGATATGTTAATTAAACTATCGGATAATGTAATAAATTAGAGCATTAGGTTTCTCCTTCTTTCATTATTTGCATTATCTTATGTGACTTATCTTTTGCATGTAAAAATACTTTAGCCTTAAAAAAACATGAATTGAAAATATTTTCTTCCGTTTCCTCTACTTTCAATCCCATTCGGTTGCCTTCCAACTTCGCTCCTGTGCTTCTGAAATTCCCTCACAATTTTTGGAAATACTCCAAGAATGTTCGCCATAATGAACGATGTCATTAGTCATAGAGCGAGGAGACAATGCCGCAGTATGTGCCAGTCCCAGTCCCCGTCCCAACTCCAACCCGAGCCCCGACCCCCAGCCAGAAATAAATATTAATACTCGCATTTGTACTTAAATGATGGCCAGGCCAGGCAGGCAGGCAGGCAGGCAGAGTAGCAGAACCACAGCAGAGCACAGCACAGAAACCACTCCACACACATCTGGGCCGGGAAGCGAACGCACTTTAATAAATAATTGGCATTGTTGGGCGATGTAATCCATGGCACTTAAAGCTCTCCACCGAGATGAACCTGCGGCTCCAACCCCACACCCCTTAACCACAATTCCAGCTTCATCTTCAGCTTCAGCTCCAACTCCAACGCCAAGTTGGGCGAGTGGCTGTGGCGGCCACAAAGCGGAACGCCAACAATTAAGGCAAACTATGCAACTCGGCCACAGTTCTCCTTCACATAATAAGGCCTTGTGAAGCGAACACGCTGAGCAATTAATAATGTGCTCATAATTTGTATGGTTGCAGCCATAACGGGGAATCATCCACACCATATTTGGCAGGAATCAACCCAAGCCAACCCAAGCCAAGCCAAGCCAACCCATCCCCACGGCAGCGAGTGAACCCGTGAACATTTTAATTAATCATGACCAAGGCAGGGCAAGGCCGCTGCAGCCACAGCCGGCATTTCGCAGTGGGCAAAGTCGGCGGAGGTGGAATCGAGCTGGGATTAGGCAGGGTAATCGCAGGTGCTGCCTGCTTTGAGGCACGGAATGTCCCTCAAGAGCGAACGTGGAGAGTGATTAGTGGCGATTGAGTCGGGAAAGTAAGTGCGAGTGCGAGCATGGAAAGCGAGGAGGAAGAGTGAGAGGATGAGAACACCATAAGATGAGAAGATGGGAAGCGGACAGATCATTGAGTCACTGATCGAAGTTTATTCATTGAAGTTTGATCCATAAAACGAAGCAGGTGCAGGAAGCAGACTCCAAATTGAGTGTGGATTGGGATAGTTTATGGCATGAAGGTGCCTCTTAGTGTAGTGCCCAAGAGGTAGAGTTTTTCATTGGCGTAAAATAAATACATAAATCAGAATGATCTATACATGAATGTGAGTGCTAAAAACAAGAACAAAAAATACAAAGAATATTTCCTTCCCCTTGGCATAATTGTAATGAGAACAATCCATAAACTAAACACAGATCCATAGCTGTAGCAGCAACCCACTGACCCCCCCGAATTTTGCAATAAATAATTCAATATTTCCACAGCATTAATCAGACTCCGATCTGCCGCTGATCTCCACCTACCCTAAGCATAAATCGCTCAAAATCTACATATACCCCCGGTAATATTTATGCCATATATTTGATAGCACTCACCTTGGCCCCGTAGGGCGATCCAGCGTCGGGGTTGCAATGGGCTCTGTGGGAGTGGGTCTGTGGACCGGTGACTTCTTTGGCATGTTCGCTCTGCAGATGGCTCTCCAAGGCGGCCAGGCTGGGCAGCATCTTGAAGCACAGATTGCACACATTCGGGGGCGGATGCAGGCCTGCTTGGATACAAGTTTCGGATATCAGACAACGAGTTACGCGAGAGGTCAGCGCGAGGGGCACGGCACACAGTTTCCGCCGCGTGCTGCTGGGCAAAATGTCGAAACGAAAACCGATCTGCGATGCGTATAATAAATATCCATCCGCGTAAAAGGTTCTGACATAATGAGGCGACAGATCCGCAACGCGACGCGACGCGACGCCTCTGTTCGCTCGCTGGATCTCTGGCAGATTCGAGGCGGGAATGCGCCAATGTTTAAAAATAAATTGCCGGAATTTGGCATAGGCATATCCATCTCAGACTGGGAATGGGCAATCGGGGAATGGAAATGCTTTGTCTCGGTCCAATTGAGTTATGTCGCGACGCGATCGCAGATTTATCGCGCTGCGACTCCACTTGGCAAACGTTCGCCGGGGTCAAAGGTGACAGACAAAGAGGCTTTGTCATCTCGGGCATCCAGATTGAAGTCGTGGCGTACTTACCCATAAATCCTAGCGGGCCGAACGGCAGCAGGGGGAACTTGGCATGGGCATGGGCATGGGCATGGGCATGGGCCTGGCCCAGGGCGTGCATCTCCTCGCGGGCCGCTGCCATCAGCAGCAGATTGGGGGCCATGGGCATGCCGAGCAGGGGCAGGCCAGCCCCAGCCCCAGCGCCAGCGCCAGCGCCTGGTGCTCCATTGAAGAGTCGCGCCGTGGCAGATGAGGGCGAGGAGAGATCCATGGCTGGCATTTCGCCGCTCTCGCTGCGTCCTCCTGCGCCAGTCATATCCAGCTCGGATCTGGAGCGTTCATCGCAGCCATCATTGGGGGCCCGCCTCTCCCGCTCCCGCTCCCTCTCCCTGTCCCTGTCCCTCTCCAAGGGAAGCGGCGTGGCTGTGGCGGCACTGGAGTTGTCCCTGGAATCGTCCGTGCTGTCCATGGTCATGAACTCATCAAAGTCGCCGCCCTGCGACGACTCCGAGCGCTGGCCCGAGTGATCCGAGATGGTGGTGGAGAAGTCCAGGGTATCCGAGGTGCCCAGCGACTTGTTCGAGTTCTGATCCTCGATGCCCAGTCGGTCAGCGTCGCCTTGGGGCGGCGGCGCCTGCTGCCCGCCGCCGCTGCCGTCGTCCATGGTGTGGATGCGAATGTGCTGCTGCAGGATGATGCCGTTGGAGAACTTCTGGTGGCACACGGGGCACTTGAACTGGCTGCGCATCGGCGGCTTGATCTTGTGGATGCTCATGTGGGCCTTCAGGTTGCCCTTGGTGGCGAACGCCCGGCCGCAGATCTTGCAGCGGAACGGCCGCTCGCCCGTGTGCGTGCGGATGTGCATCTGCAGGGAGCTGCGGCAGGACATGACCTTCTGGCAGAAGATGCACTGGTTCGGGTCGGTCAGCTTGTTCTCGATGTTGTCCACCAGCTGCTGCAGCTTCGACGTCTCCGACGTCTTGTCGATCTCGATCAGATCCTCCCACGACTTGTCGATGATGCGCTCCATCTGGGCCAGCGAGTACTCGCCGGGCGCCTCGCGACTGGTCGACGAGGAGCGCCGCACCAGCTTGGCGATGTGCATGTGCTCGGCCAGGTCGCGCTCCCGCTCCCGCTCCTCGCTGGGCGGACTGCCCGCGCTGCTCGTCTGCCGCTTCCGGACGCTTCCGTTGCGTCGCGGTGGCGCCGCTGGCTTGGCCGTTTCCCTCTCTGGCTTCTCCGCCACGGGCTCCGGGACTGGCTGGTGTCTGCTCAGCTCTGGGGCCACCTCTTTGGGCGTCTTGGCCCGCTCTACGGGCGAGTGCGATTTTTCCTTCTCCTTTTCCCTCAGGGTTTCCTTCTCCTTTGGTCCTGGCTTGCTCAGATCCTCTGCCTGCAGTGGCTGCTGAGGCTGCTGAGGCTGCTGCTGCTCCATGCGGTTCTCCTCCATCTCCTCCAGATGCTGCAGGGGACTGGGCTCCTGTCCGCTGGGCGGTGGTGGCGGCGGCACAAAGGGCAGGCGTATGGGATTCAGCGCTGCAAACTGCTCAGACGGAGCTGGCGGCTGGCCACCGCCGTTCGAGGCGGCGGCCACCACGGGCGGCATGAGCATGGGGGGAAAGATCTGCGTGTGCCGCTGGTAGTGCACCTTGAGGTTGCCCTTCGTGGTGAACTTGCTGCCGCAGACGTTGCAGTGGAAGGGCCGCTCGCCGGTGTGCGACCGCAGGTGGATCTGCAGGGCCGAGTAGCTGCCGAAGATCTTGCCGCAGTACTTGCAGCGATGCTTGAAGATCTCGCCGCGGCTCTGCGCCTCCTTGGAGGCGTACTCCGAGTACTCCTCCTGCATCTGGGCGGCGTGCAGGCTCTGGGAGGCCGAGTCCAGCACCTCCTCGGTGCGCCGCTGCAGCATCTCCAGGCAGTTGGGCTCGTTGGGGGCCGGCGGCGGGTCGTGGTTGGTGATGATGCTCGAGGCCAGGCTCGAGCTGATGTCGCCGCACATCAGGTAGTCGGAGCCGGCGCCGGCGCGCCAGCGCCAGGATCTGCCTCCGGCGAGGGGTCCTTCTTGGCCTTCATCTGACTCCGACTTGTCTCCTTTTCCCCGTCCCTTTCCCTTTCGCTTTCCTCTCTCTTTTCAGTCTTTGAACTCTCCTCGCGCCGCAGCTCGTTCTCCTCCTGCTCCTGCTGCTGCTGCTCCTGCCGCATGCCATTCTGGGCCCGCTGCTCTCTGGTGGGCTCTGGCGATTCCTCCTCCTGTTCCTGTTCCTGTTCCTGATCCTGTTCATCCTCCTCCTCGTCGGGCTGCTGCTCCTCCTCGTTCTGTTCGGCCTGCCTGCCGAGGGCCGCTGCCTCGGCGCGCTTCAATTGACTCTGTAGATGCTGGATGAGCTGCAGCTGCATCAGGTGCTGGCGCTGCACATTGAAGATGGTGGACTGCACCATGGCCAGGTCGGCGGGCCGCTGGTTTCCCGCCGCAGCGCCCGCCAGAGCGGTGGCCGCGAACTGGGCCACCGCCACTTTGGTATGTTGTAAAGCTTCCAGGGCCACGTGACCGCTGGTGGGCAGTCGACTGCTGGCCGAGATCACCGACAGATCGAGCGCCTCGTTGCTGTTCTCCGGCTCCGGCGACGCCGACCCCGAGGCCTCCCCGTCCTCCAACTCTGCATCCCGCTCGGTGGCCTCCAGCTCGTGCAGCTCCGTCTCGGGCTCGGTCTCGGGCTCGACATCGGGGGGAGTCGCCGCCTCGATCCCGCCATTGTTGTTGCTGTCCGCATCCAGCTCCTTGGCCAGGAGATTCTCCCTATCCCTCTCGCCGCCGGCTGAGCCCGAGGTCCTGGTGCCTGTGCCCCGATAATTGATGCGATTGCGAAATATTGAACACATTATCCTCTCTCGATCGGAAGCCTGCCACCTCCTGAGCACGATTGCTGCCGATTTCTGGCCTTCTGCTCATGGACTGGACCCTGCGGAAGACACAAAAGAGGGAGAAGAGGCGACATGAGGCGTGAGTGCAACGATTACGAAAATTTACGCACATATTCCTGGCCGATAATATATGGAGTACGATCGATATAGAAGTGGTTACCAGTGGCCACTGGCCACCGACCACCGACCACCGACCACCGACCACTGACCACTGGCCCAGAGATCGTCACGTAAGGAGTGGGAGGGAGGGAGGTAGGGAGGGAGATGCAGTCTCGCGCCAGACTTTATGATAAATCTTTTTGTTTTTTTTTTGTTTTGAATATATGAATAGCGCTGTGGGTGTCGCAATTTTAGGCGTTCGTTGAATAAATGATTGGGTGGCGTGGCGCGGCGCAGTGTGGCGTGGCGCAGTCGGAGCTGGGGTTAGTCGCGTATAACTTAATATCAGCCTCTGCTGCTCCGATTTGGTCTGCTTCTTACAATATATCTATATCTGGATTGGGTTTTCGGACTATCCCGGGCCGGGCCCGTGCCCCATGCCGCAACAGAGACTTTGCATGGCGTAAGACCGGGCGGGGGTAATTTATTGATTTATTACTCGGAATCACTCAGCATAACTTTTGGTCTATCTGGCTCTCATTGGCATTTGCCACAAATCTTTCCCAATTATTCCGGTCACAGCTAATTTATCTGATCAGATATCGGCAACCGGTAAATGAGCCCCTGGACCCACGGACCAACTGAACAAATCGAGAGTGATATTTGTAGGTGCCTATCTACCTTTCGTATTGTTTGATTTAGTGGGGATAAGAAGATAACTCGTCCTAATGCTGATACTCTTTGGGGATCTAATATGCGAATATATAAGAAGGTAAAGGGGAAAAATAATTCACTGACTAGCAGAAAAACACAATGGGATCTATATTAATATTAGCACCCAGTAACAAAAATACCTACAAAATGTATACCAATAGACTTACATTAAAGTATGATCCCTCACATTTTACCATTAAAATTAACTTATTAAATTTAAATATATTTTTATGTTTAAATAAAAATATATATCATATTTAACATATGTAAATTCTATTTTCATATTTAAATTAAATATTTTCATATTTAAATTAAATATTTTCATATTTAAATTAAATATTTTTGTATTTAAATTAAATATTTTTGCATATTTAACATAAATAAATTTCATATTTAAATTAAATATTTTTGCATATTAAACATAAATAAATTTCATATTTAAATTAAATATTTTCATACTTAGATTAATAATTTTTCCTTTAAAATTGAATATATTATAATTATTTTAAAGTGTTTTCTATTTAAATTAAATATGGGCAATTTTTGGTGTTCGAAAAGAGAGTCTAAAATTTGTATGCAAATCTTCTATCGATGGTTATTTGGACTACACATTCCATCAGTAAAAACTTACTCTGCAATTGGCTCAAAGACCCACACACCAGTATATGGAAAATGAGTTAAACTCCGCGGCATCGATCCCTCAATTTCCTTCCTTCCTTTCGCATTTTGCGAAAAGCTACGCAAAGTGTGTGGGTGGTGGGAAAGTCGACCGCCATCCGTGTGTTGGACCGACGACCAGTGGCGAACTGGCGCCCCGCCAGGAAGACCAGCAATCGGGTGTTCAGATACCACCAGCTACGCAGGAAGTTCAGGTTCATTTTGGGCATCAGGAAAAGCCTTGGATAACTGGGAATTTGGAAGGGAACTATTCGGCCAACTGGGATGCTGTACGAGCTGCCCCACCACCACCCGTAAACTGTTCAATATATTATGCTCACTCACTCGCATAAATTTCCACGCCAAATCGATTTCAACATAATTCCTCACACAATTTCTGAGTTACACTTTCAACAGGGCCACAAATTCTGGGGCGCTTTTCGTGGTCTGTCTCTCGCCGAAATTAAGCAGAAAATTTCCAAATGCTTTGGAAACGCACGTGAGCCCGGATAGGAGTACGGGTACGGGTATCCCATCCGCATTACGGCCGATTGCTTTATGATTATTTCCCGGCAATTAAGTGAATTTATTGGCAAAGGTAAACACACTCGAATCCGAATCCGAATCCGAATCCGTGCCCGTACCCGTACCCATGCCCGTGTCCCGTGTGTCTCTATCGATTGGCCGCACTCGAAATCATCGACGCACACACATCGAGAGGTGCGCCTCGCACTATTTCTATCAATGCCGATGCTGGCAATGGGCTCCATCCGAAATCAATTTGTTTAATGCAGACAGCGTTTTCCCACAGCAGCAGCTACAGCCACAGCTACAGCTGCAGCCACAGCAACGAAGGGAGCCAGCGAGCAGCTGGGGAAGTTAACCCGAAGTTAAGGCCCTGGCGAAAGTGTTAACCAAAACTAAAGTGAGTCGAGTCGAGTCGAGCCAAGACAAGACGAGACGCCACAGCCACAACTTATTCCACTTGAGCTGATTTTCTTGAGCGATTTACGCACAGCCAAAAACATAAAACTTCCGCAATTGCCTCACCCGAAAACTCTTCGGGACTTTAAGAAGTCTGCGGTTGCTCTTGGAATGCCCCCGACAACTTTTCAAGCTCTCATTTCCTTTGTCAAGAAAGAAAATTCCATGTGCTTGCCTCCAAAAAGTTTCCTGCCAGCAGGTGGTCCAGCGCCAACCAACTCGAAAGGAACTCTAAATCTTTCGTGGATCTTTCATGCGCCGCAGCAACACGGCGTCAATCATTTGGCCAAATCGTGAATTATGCTTCGATGGCTATAGCCTACACCTCTACAATCGCTCGTCTGCAGCGGATATTGATCAAAATTCATTGCAATTTGCTTGATTGATTGATGGCGTGCATATATCCGGGGCCAATCGAATGAATGGACCCGATGCCAAACGTAAACAGTCCCAAAGATTGGTTGGGAGGGAGGGGGAATCTACCGAATGCGAGATCTTGATGGAAGTCTGTTGTTTCAACCGTCGATCGAGCACTCGAGCGAGTGGCACTGAATGGACAGCTGGGGAAACACTGATTTTTGGGGGGGTTTTCTAGATAGGCGAATGTCATCTCTGACAATCTATGAATGCTGTTAAATTTTCAAAATTTGCAGAGATATATCGAGCACTTGATTTGACACAAGATAACCCTTTACTGTTCAAAATATACTGCGTAAGTATTTAGTTAGAAATGAAATATTTTACCTGTTTTTTGTATCCTGATTAACCTAAGACTTCGACAATGTGCAGCACTTATATTAAATAAATCAAATTCTTTTTAAATATTTTGATTTCGAAATATTTTTTATGAATTTTTCTAGATTTTCTTTGACTTTTTTTGTGTCACACTTGACACACCAATTATACAATTATTTGTGCTAAAATAATATTTTATTATGCAGCTAATAGATATAGAAATTTTACAGAGATGACTAGATCCTAAAAATTCAAATTCACTTCACTTACTTCAATTAATTTTTATATGCACGACAGACTTTTATACTAACAAACTATTTTTCATTAAGTTAAATTTGTTGGTAAATTCAATAAAATAAAACCATCTTGTCAGGCAGTTATCAGCTCAAATTAGAAATTTATTTTTAGAACTCAGATACTTTAGGCCCCAAAAAATAGAACCCCCAGACTCATTTCTTGTACGTATAGAAATATCATAAAGTTTTTGGCAAGTTATTCTTTTCATTGAATTGTACGAATATGTTCCCCCTTTGATCCTTTGGCTTCCCATAGCTGAAAATTCTTTATGAATGTCTCCCAGTCTCATATACAAATAAATAACACCAGCAAACTGCATCTCAAACTCCCCGTTTTGTATTTACTTTCCCGCCCAAAAAAAAAAAAAAGATAAAGAAAGTATAGGAAATAAAAAACGCTTGAAGAAGCGAACAAAAAAAAAGGTGGAAATTGTTTGAGGCAAATTTATGAGCTTCGCTTAAGCAGGGGAACTACGAGTACGGGTACGGGTACGAGTACGTCTGGTTAGCGCTCCCCCGCTCTGCATTGTACGGAGTGAGTGTATTGACCATTTTGCATGCGGTATGCGGTGGCAAGCGTCGGATGGGGCGCCTGTCCAGGCAGGGCCCTGGGAGCGCAGTTTCAGCCGGGAGAGATGTCTTGTGGGCAGGGGGAGCAGGGGGTGGGGAACAGCCAATGACGACGGCGACGACTGCGAACCCAGGGGCTCGTAGCATACAAAATGTCTGCAAATTTATTAAGCTGGAAAAATTTTATGAGTTGAATTGGTATAATTTTCATATAATTTTTGAGAAAGAAGCGAAATGGAACGCTGCCAGACGGTCAACCAGTTGAGTTTATAGCCAGCGGGGGGCTGAGACTGAGACTGCGACTGCGACTGGGATGGCCAGAAAGGAAGTCGAGGGGTAAGCGCCACACACAAACACACATACACACACATAAATATTTGTATGTGTTTGTAAGAGTGTGTGAGAAATGCAAATGTCTGCGTGTCTGAGGGACAGAATGAATGGCTGGGTTTTTGGGATGTGTTTTTTTTGTTTTTGTGGATGGAAAGGGAACCAATGCCAAGTGGCCGGCACAAGGGGGAGCCAGCCTGACACACAGATACTCACACACACACACACACACACACACGCACAGTGGTCTGGTCTGGACTCTTGGCCAGGGACTGGAACTGGGACTGGGACTGGGTCTTGGGTCTGGTATCGGGGTCTCAGCAGCGAGGCTTGTAGATGAATTTGTATTGTTTTGCATTTGCTTTTGGGGCGCTACTTTGTTTTTGCCTTCTGCCTTCTGCTTTCGCTTCGTTTTTGTTTTCTGTTTCTTTTCTTTACTTTTTTTCACTGTTTTTTTCTTTTTGTTGTTGTTTGTTTCGCTCAAAGGAATAATATAGGTGGGCGGGGGGGGAGGACTGTGTAGAGAGCAGGAAGCGGGAGCGGGTGCGGGTAGTGGTAGCGGGCAGGGTTGTTAAGCTGCCATTGGAAACAATTAAAATCATAAGAGACGCACATAAATTATTCATGGCTTAATCTAAAGTGGACAATCTATGCAAAGTACCCTCACACACACACACACACACACACATGGATATACACACATGTGTGTGTATCGTTGAACACTTGTTCCGCCCCCCCGCACTTGATGGCCATTTTTGATATTTTGCCAATCTGCTGCTGGCTTCGCCTTTGCCCTCCTTTTTGCCTTAATTACTCATAAACGAAGGAAATAATTGCATTCAAGTAGCCATCTCCTGTCCTGTCCCTTATGCTTCCCTATGCATATCTTCCCTCTCGTACTATGCCTGTCTCTCTCTCTCTTTCTCTGTGTTTTGTGTTTCCTCTTTTGTTTTCTGTTTTCCTTGCCATATCTGGCAATTAGATGGAACAATGAAACGGACTGAATTCTGGCAACTCAATTTCGATGCGAATCGAATTGAATTTCTGGAGGAGCAGCAGTAACCGTTGCTGCAGAGCCATGAATGGATCTTCTTTATTTGTGTTGTGTGTTCGAAATGCACACGTTTTGATTGCTCACAGCATCAGTTATCAAATTCAAACTGTAATCGATTAATTGGGCTTCGGTTGGCACATTAGATTCCATATCAAATAATTTAATGGGTTGCTCAATTGTGTGGGTTATGATATGCCAAAGAGATAAATAGTTAGGTTCTTAGTTATGAATTGTTAAACTGGTTTTATACGTTATTTTTTGTGCATAACAGGGACTAAGTTTAAGCTACACTATTGTTCCTTCAAAAGGATGCAAAGGCGTCGCCGAAGCATATTGACTTTTATCATATATTTTAACTAACAATAAAGTTTATTCTATCTCCAAAAATACTTTTCCCTTAGTAAAGTTGGTTAACTAACTCCCTAATTCTATTTTAGCATACGCCTACATAAAAAGTTCACATTTGCATATTTAATAAATAAATTAAATTTTAAATTCCGTCCAGTTTTCTGTGTTTTTTTTTCATTTGCTCATTTCAGTCGAATCCCGCAACTCCGACAAAGCCCAAAATTTGTTTTGATGAATATGAATTGAATTTGGTTTATTGCCCTCACAGCTATAATGGCAATAAAAAGGCAGCTAAAAATTTTTGGCAGGGTCTGGCCGTGTTAGAACGGATTGGATTGGCATCTAACTAATAAATTTTCGTAGCAATAAAAATTCAATTTATGCGGTTTATTGAATTAGCCAACGGATCGAAATGAAATGCAGAAATGCAATGATATAATATAGACATATGTACATACAAATATGTGCAAAAAAACAAAAGGGTTGAGAGTGAGATGATGGATGGATATAGATAGATAGATAGATAGATATGTTTATAAATTGATGCATAGATAGATTCGCATGTGGCCCACATTGCAGTACAACGCTGCGAATAATAAAAACATTTTCGCCAAAATATTCGCATGCAAAATACAACAAAATATGCCGCATACCATGAGCAGCTGGTGTAAGAGGGTAGACAGATAGATAGATAGATACATTTGTATCTAGAGTCTATACCGCACATTTCTGTCATAACACGAAATAAATATTTCACTTGTCCGCTGTCCACTGTCCGCTTGGCCCGTGTACCTCCTTCCTCTCTGTCTTTTTGTGCTGTATTCGTTATTAAAATGAAAACGAATTTTATATAAAATATAATGCAAGATGTTCAACCGAGCCGGGTCGGTCGGGGGGATGGGAGCGTTGGGACAGGCGCGAAAAATGAGAAATAGACTGGCAACAAAATGAAAAGCGCTTCGAAATTTTACAAATGAATTTATTGCCAAGCCAACGAACAGGAAAAGATACAAAGAAACGTCCACTCAAAGATACATTTGGTCACTTGCCGTTGGCTAAATGAATCGCGCGACTCATAAATTAATTAGAACAATAAAACAATAAATGTATTAAGAGGGTGAAGCGTACACTGACAGAAAATGTATATATCAAGCAAGCTAAGTAATATGTATCTATCAAATATTTTTTTATTATTAATTAACTACTCATAGAGAACAAGGCTTTTCTTTGACAGCATTCCCCTCTATTGCCGTATCTCTCGTTGGCACATTTTAAGAGGGGATATCTTATATTTATTATCAAGAGGTTAACTATATCTCACTTAATCGTTTTCTTTCTGTGTAGCTCTGACTACTGCTTGCAGATACATTTCTATCTTTATACGATTCCTTCAATCTTAAATTATTTAAGGCTGGCCATCAATTGTGGCTTGATTAAAATGCTTTGCCCGTCACCACTCCATCTCAGTCTCAGTACCAGATATCACCAATTTCTTGCTGTTCCGAAAATGCATCTGCCAGATACTTTGTATCTTTGACACAGTGACTTGACACCTGTCATCTTTTCGTTTAACCTTTAGATGGGCCATCACTCGACACACCTTCCCCATCATCCCACCCAGCACTCATTCACCCCATCCTGCCCCCACCCCCTTCTTGACTCTTCCCCTCTCTGCTTTGAGTCTCTGTTAATTTTATTCTTGACATGCCTTCCTGGTTCTTGCTGTTGCTTTTTCTTGTTGTATCTTTTTTTAGGTGTGGGATTGGGCATCATCTTCTTCTTTCTTGTCATTGCATAACATGCAGACACACGGATACAGAAACAAACACACACTCACTCACGGATACACAGATACTTGTATGTGTGTGGTACATATCCCTTGTCATATCCTCCGGCACATTCTCCGTTTCATGCCTCTCGACCCAACGCCCATGTCAGAGAGCCCGACCCCTCCGCCTTGACCCCTGCCCCTGTCCGTGCCCCACTCTGCGTGCCACCTTTGGGGCACAAAGTAGTTGTATTTATGTTAACTTTGACATAAGCTCAACATGCAACTTTTCGGTTGTTCCTCTTTTGCTGTTGTTGTTGTTTCTGTTGCTGTTGCTGTTGCCTCTGTTTCTGTTGCAGTTGCATGTCCTCGCATAAAGTGTCAAAGTTAAATAATCTCCACTAGCCCAGAGTCACGGCGTGAGGGGGAGAGGTGTTTGTTCGTGCAACCTGAAAAAGTAGCCCCAGGCCCAATTTAGATCTTGTTTAATATGTACTCCTCAATTTTGTAGGTTATTCAGATGGGGAAGTATCTGAATGCAAATGAGTGGTTGGAGTGTGTCAAGGAGTGTGTCCCACTCGAACAAGTAGAAAATGAAATTTTCTGACTCACATAGGTGTCTGTCTATAGGCACTATATCTGAATGCATCTGAATGTGTTTCTCAATGAAGTCATATGGGAGAACAGACAGAAAATAAATGATTTAAATGGTACATTTCTTCAGAATTTAATTTAATGTGAAATGAGCATTGCAGACCTCTCCTTCAGTATCCATTGCTATTCATTGATGCGACTCTTAAATCATTTACGCAAAATCCGTCTAGAATTGCAACTAAAGTCTGTGAGAATGTGATTATACCGGAATATATTTATATTTTGGGTAGAAAAGTACCATTAGCATGAAAATAAATGATATATGAAATGGGAACATTGGAAATATGAGAAATGTTTAATTATCGCATTGGGGATGATTCAACAATTCACCTTACTTAAAGGCTTAAATTATAATTATAATATTTTAATACTTAAGAGCAAATAATTATGTGTTCTTTAATCTTCCCTAAGTTGTAGTCCTCAAATATAAACTAAGTTCTCTCTCATTTGACTGAACATTTACGAATAAATAATGAAAACACTTTGTGGTGAATTAAAAGTTATTCTTGAAACCTTTCAATGTTTTCTAATCAAAAGAATTCCAAACTAAAACCAGTCTATTTGATTGCGTATCCTTAGAACTATTAACTTATACGAAAAGGTTCTTATTAGCTTTAATTAGTTTCGTGTATTCTTATGAGTACATCTAAGGATATTGGGAGTTGGCTTCTTATTTTAGAGTATAAAATAGTTTAACTCTTCATTGTGCACTTACCTTTGCTGGGGGGTTTTGACTCCTTCCTCCTTGAAGGATCCTGGCTATCCGCTCCGGACCTGCATCTCTGGAAAGTATCTCCTTTGTCGAAAGTATCTTGCCGACGGCAATCGTTGAGATTAAGATGATGCGTTGCTTTCACACAGAATTTATAAGTATTCAAAAAATTGTTGTTGCTTATTAAAAATCAAGTTTATTGCACATTTTGTTAGCCCTCTCTTGGTTTGCTCTCTCCTTCTTTTTTCTTCTACTTCTTTCTTCTCCGCTCTTCTCCTCTGCTGTGAGTTACTTTCGTTGTTGTTTTTGCATTTTGATGTGAATTTTATGATTAATTAAACACGCGCGACCGCAAAAAGCGACTCCGGAGTCTCTGTTTCCGAGTGCGGCCCCGGACCCGTTACCGCTCTGCCCACACACACACATGCCCCCGCCCCCACACACACACACGCACAGGCACACGCACACGTACGCACACACAGGAAGGAGGCTGGCTGGCTGGCTGAAATATGCGTAAGCAGCGACGTTGCGACGTAGCGACGTAGACGACTGCGACAGACGAGACGACGGACGGTCGGCGGTGATAAAAACGCACACGGGGGCGGAAGAGGCAAGGCAGCAAGGCACACCGTGTTAACCGTTAACGGTTAACTGTTTTCTTGGTCTGGCCCGAAGGCAACGGAATAATGGCAATATAATTCTGGCCAAGGAGCTGCCAACTGGTCGCTGGTACTGCCAACTGGCTTTTGGGGCCCAGTTGCCGTGCCGTCGAGTCGCCACTTGGTGAGCAAAGCCGCTCTGGCGGCCAAAGGTAACGGTAACAACAGCAGCGCAGCGGCAACGGAGAGCCAGAACCAGAGCCAGGCGACGTCGACGTCAGAATGTCCTTAACGGTGGCGGCACCACGGCCGCGGCAGCAGCAGCAGCAGCGGCGCGCACTTGCGATTACGACGACGACAACTACAACGACGATGACGATGACTATGACGACGACGACGGAGACGGACCACGGACGACGGCGGCGCGCAGTGTCCTGCGAGTGCGAGCTGGAGCGAAGTGGTCCCCACGATGGCTGCGTTTGCACGCAGGAGCCGGGCGACGGCGATGGCATTCATGCGATTCCGATTCGGTGGCGGCGTCGCATTCACAGTGCGAAAGCTTCGCGCCACAAATGCCGTCACACAGAGAGCCAGTCAGAGAGAGAGAGAGAGAGAGCGAGAGAGAGCGGAACATAAAAGAGTCACAGAGAGTGAGAGAGTGAGAGAGGGAGTGTGGTGTCTCAGGAGAGCAGAGCACCACAGAACCACCTTAACAGTTGGGGAAATGTCGTATAAGACTTTTAAGTTAACACTGATAACAGCTAACAGTGCTGTTACGTGGCGACTGTCTATAGCTGTGCTCTTCTCACTCACGCCAAGCAGCCATTTATGGGGGGAGTGTTTTGGGAGAGCAATAAATCAAGCCAGAGCGCTCTGCTGCTCCTCTGTTTGTTTGAGTGTGTGTGTGTGTTCGCTCTCAGTGCATGCGAGTGTGTGTGTGTTCGCTCTCTGGGAGATACTTTTAAGGGCCAACATTAACTCGGCTCTCACTGTTGGCCACTGTCTGCAGTCGGCAGAGGATGGGATGAGAAGGCACAACAAAAAAAAGAACGGAAAATCGTCTTCGAGTCACTTTTTTATCTCTCTGTTGCGCAGCGGCAGCGACGTCGACGGCGACGACGACGTATAAATAAAACGCATCGGAAATTATGACAACTTTAGGCGGAGCATAGGAAGTCAGCGTCGGCGTTGGCTCTTCCCTTTTTTTTCGTTGGCTCAAGCTCAATCATATTTCCTTTATGTTCGCCCCGTCCCTCTCTAACTCATTCTATGTGTGTGTGTTTGTGTGTGTGTGTATGCCTGCGCTCTTTCTATGTATATGTGCTGAGAGAGGGTTTCTTTTATTTATCCATATTTCCTTTATGTTAGCTTTTGATGCTCCTTCTTTTCTTGTACCTCCTTCTGCTTCTTAGACGCTGATTGTCCTTTTTTTTGTGGGTAAGGATTGCCTGAGCTGCTAAAATGCCGACGGGAATCGAACAGGGAAAAATACACAGAATAGTAAGGATAAAAGCGCAAAATTTCTCTAAATAAAATGGACAAAGTTGGGAATTATATAAGAAAATATTAGACATAACACAATCTGCTTTTACATAGTAGTTTTTATTATTTCGTAACACTTCGTTTAATTTCTTAAAGTCTTGATAAATACTTTAAAAGAATTGTATTCTAGTGGATGTTTAAAGCAGGAATACAATCTTTTAAGTACTTAACGAACCAAGAGGGTTGTTTGCGGGCTCGAAGTTGGACTCTTTTGGGCTATTTTTAAATACTAAGATTACTAAAAATATCAATTCTAAAGGATAAATACAAAACACGTCGTTGGGGTAGAAAATTATGCATTATTTCTTCATTTCTGTTTAAAGGAATAAAAATGGTTTACCCTTATAGAAATTATCAAAATAAGAAACATCCAACTAATGATTCGAATTTCTGTAAAGTTTACTTACAAATTTGCAACATATTTAAAGATTTTATATGGTTAAAGCGTTGATTAAATCCCTATATATGCATAACAGATCCAAGTCGATATTTATAAAATCATTTTTATTTTTGTTTTGTGCCCCTACTCCAACGATCCAAGGGACACTCCCTCTTTATAGGATCCCTCCTCCGATTAGCTCGATCTAATACCATTCCCAAAAAGAAAATCCCTCTCTCGCTCTACATGAATAATGCATGCGATTGTCACGACTGCCGCCAATTGCATTTCATTTGATTTGATTTGATTTCAGTTGGATTCATTTCGATTGAATGCATCACGTACGGGTTGTATCTATACATTTACATACGTATGTATGTATGTATCTGCATGCCAACCCTCTCTGGTTGCAAAGGAGTTGGATGAAGAGGAGGAACATCTGCTTATGAATTACTAAAAACATTTCACTGGCAACATTCAAAATGGTTGATATAAAAAATGAATTCAAAAATGAATATAAACTGAAGCCGAAATGAGATGTTCAAACAAAGGGCAAACGATGTTGTGTCCCTTTTTTTTTAACCCCCTAGAAACATCCCTACTTCAAAATATATAAACCTACCTACCATACAAACATATGTACATTTAATGATGATAACAAATAATAAAGTAACCCTCTCTCTCCGTGCCACCTCGCTCAGACTCAACTCTTTTTGGCAAATTAGCAGGCTGTACTCGAGAGTTGTTCCACTGCATTGCCATAAAGAATTCAATATGTGAGAATGGAGAAGTCTCTTTCTCTGAAGATAAGGATCGCTTCATAAATGTACCTCCAATGACGAAGAGCGAGAGAGATGGCAGCCATAGACACAAAGTCTAAGAAAGAAATGTTCTCTATCCCACATATCATTTATCATAGAGGAAAATCCCGAAAAAATCTCAAAAATGAAACCGAACTTTGGATCTTTTTCTCCATGACTATCATGGCGGTTGCTCCACTCCAACCACATTCATCAGAGCGAGACAGCAAGTGGAATTTCTATGCAAATCATTTTTGAGACCAGACCCTAAAAAACTCGTTTTCTTACCAACAATTTTTGATGACGCCGATTTGTCTCCACAATCATAAAAATCGTTCATGAAAAACCGAAAGAGAAAGGGCAAAAGAGATGGTAGAAAACACCAAAGAGTTGGGAAGTTGGGAAAACGAATCAAAGAAAATCTCCGACCAGAACATAATTAAATTTTTTGAATAAATTATTACAAAACATTTTGAGCGGTAAATGCGACAAATATACGTTTGACCCTCGCAACCTTCGCAACCAGAAACCAAAAGGGCACCAAAAAACCTTTGAAACATCTTTTATAATTTTCGTTTTAAATTGGATATTTTTCCCTACCATTTTTCTCTTTATTGATAAGAAAACGTGAGAAGGTTAAGGTTAGCAGTCGGTGGGATCTGAAGAGAGCGCAAGATGGTGGTTTCCTTTCCGTCTACTATATGGGAAATATTATTTCTTATTTCTTATTAGAGATGCAAGATTTTCATGCTTTGAAACAATATGAATTAGCCTGTATGCAACGCTCAATAGGAAGCCATTTTGGAATATTCCACTTCTATGGGGGAATAATCTACCAAAAAGATTTCACATCCAATGCTTGTAAATCGAAGTGAGGCAACAAATTTTGTACTTTTAAATGTATTGCCATATAATTTAAACAGATAGATATTTTGTAGTCACGTCTGCGCTGGCCAAGTGTCTAATTGCCTGACTCATTAGGCATATTCGATATAATCAAGTCTCGGTGCCCCACCAATAAAATGTGAAATGCACGTCGCTCATTCGATCAAGATCGTTGCCAGTCTTTAATATATTATATATCACGTGTGACTGAAAACGAAATAAAATAAATTGAAATTGAAATTAAAACTCTTTTGGCTCTTGGCTGCCATTAAAATTAAGTACTTGGAGGTACCTTTGCCTCTCTTTGGGTCTCCGCAAAGGTTCTACTTGGGGGGTGGGGAGTGAGTGTGGGTTGGAAGGGGTTTTTGATTTGTTCGGAGTGATTTATGTTAACGATGACACCTGGGGGGGAATCGATACTTGGTCTAAGGTTTACTTTAAATTTGAATACCCTTTTCTGGTCAGTTGGTTCTTCGTTTTGTATTTCTAAGCATCGTATTTGTCTTTGGTTTTAGTTTTAGTTTATTAAAAATATATCAAATATTCCCAGATATTTTTCCATTGATTTCTTTATTTATATGTATTTTTCTTTTGCTTGAGAAAATATTTGGAAATATATTTCTGCTAGCATCTATGATATATTTTCATTATTTTTCTTTTACTTTAGAAAATATATTTGCTGGCATCTATGCCATGTTTTTACACATTTCCCCATCAGAGCAATTTAATTTGCCCGAAAAACAGACACAAAAACATTTAAGAGTTGACCTTGTCTCGGTCTAGCTCTGGGGCCTTTTCGGGGGTTGGCTCTGGCTCTGGCTCTGTCTGTGGGTCTGGCTCTGGCTCTGGTTCTGGCTCTTTGGGCCATTTACCCGATTGCGTTTAATCGATTTCTTTGTAAACTGGAAACCAATGTCAACAGCCTCACAAAACACACAGACACAACACACAGCACACAAATTCAACGGGATTCAGGCGGCTGGAAAGGAGCCGAGAGAAATTTGCTTCTCGAGCGGCAAAACATTTACACACTTAAACGAGGCAAAAGAATTTCCTTGGGGGGGCGTTGAATAAAATCTATATCGAAAAGAAAACTAACAAAATTGCAGTGCAAAGAGAGAGAAAGAGAGCGAGAGAGAGAGTGAGAGAGGGAGGGGCTTTTCTTTCGTTTCCATTCAAAGCACTGGACTCCTTCTATTCCGACTCCTTCACCGCCCTTGGGGCAACTTTGTCGCGTAGGTAAATATACATTCCGTTTGATTGTATTGCAGAGAGAGAGAAAGAGAGAGAGTGCGCCATCGAAATGTATCTGCTGGATACACTTTGCATGCCAGGGTTGTCCTTGCTTGGCACCAACACCCAACACCCAACACCCCACACCAGCCCCAAGCCCACCCATTTCCACTACCATTTTAAAGTGTTTCCATCGATTTTTCCATCTGGGGGCGCGCGCTGCCATTCTTTGATTCATAATTCAACTTTTGCGGCTGCCATTGGCAATTAACACGCCCACCCCACTCCACCCCACCCCTCGGCTCAGCTCAGCTCCACTGAATCATCATCATTTCGAATGCTTAATGGCAAATTTATGTGGCGTTGCATTTTCTCCTAATGAAAATGGAATTCATAAAATAAACCAACATAAAACATTCATTCTCGCTGGGGCTGAGGCTGAGGCTGGGGATCGCTGCAGATCGTTGGTCTATGATATTCGTGGCTCGTGGCAGCCACATGTTCGACGTTCGACTCCGCCCTGAAGGGGGAGAGCCAA